ACTGGGTTATGTTACACAGTGACTGGGTTATGATGTTCAGTGACTGGGTGATGTTAAACAGTGGCTGGGTTATGTTACACAGTGACTGGGTTATGATGTTCAGTGACTGGGTGATGTTAAACAGTGGCTGGGTTATGTGGAACAGTGACTGGGTTATGTTAAACAGTGACTGGGTTATGTTAAACAGTAACTGGCTTATGTTAAACAGTGACTGGGTTATGTTGAACAGTGACTGGGTTATGTTAAACAGTGACTGGGTTATGTTGTTCAGTGACTTGGTTATATTAAACAGTGACTGGGTTATGTTAAACAGTGACTGGGTTATGTTGTATAGTGACTGGGTTATGTTGTTCAGTGACTGGGTTATGTTGTTCAGTGACTGGGTTATGTTAAACAGTGACTGGGTTATGTTGTTCAGTGACTGGGTTATGTTGAACAGTGACTGGGTTATGTTAAACAGTGACTGGGTTCTGTTGAACAGTGACTGGGTTCTGTTGTTCAGTGACTGGGTTATGTTACACAGTGACTGGGTTTTGTTGTTCAGTGACTGGGTTATGTTCCTCAGTGACTGGGTTATGGTGTTCAGTGACTGGGTTATGTTAAAAAGTGACTGGGTTATGTTGTTCAGTGACTGGGTTATGTTGAACAGTGACTGGGTTATGTTCCTTAGTGACTGGGTTATGTTAAACAGTGACTGGGTTTTGTTGTTCAGTGACTGGGTTATGTTACACAGTGACTGGGTTTTGTTGTTCAGTGACTGGGTTATGTTACACAGTGACTGGGTTATGTTGTTTAGTGACTTGGTTATGTTCCTCAGTGACTGGGTTATGTTGTTCAGTGACTGGGTTATGTTAAAAAGAGACTGGGTTATGTTGTTCAGTGACTGGGTTATGTTGAACAGTGACTGGGTTATGTTAAACAGTGACTGGGTTATGTTAAACAGTGACTGGGTTATGTTGTTCAGTGACTGAGTTATGTTAAACAGTGACTGGGTTATGTTGAACAGTGACTGGTTTATGTTGTTCAGTAACTGGGTTATGTTGTTCCGTGACTGGGTTATGTCGTTCAGTGACTGGGTTATGTTGTTCAGTGACTGAGTTATGTTAAACAGTGACTGGGTTATGTTGAACAGTGACTGGTTTATGTTGTTCAGTAACTGGGTTATGTTGTTCCGTGACTGGGTTATGTCGTTCAGTGACTGGGTTATGTTGAACAGTGACTGGGTTATGTTGAACAGTGACTGGGTTATGTTGAACAGTGACTGGGTTATGTTCCTCAGTGTACAGTGACTGGGTTATGTTTCTCTCTGGGTTATGTTGTTGAGAGACTGGGTTATGTTGCTCGGTGACTGGGTAATGATTTTCAGTGACTGGGTTATGTTATTCAGGGACTGGGATTTGGTTCTCAGTAACTGGGTTATATTTTTCAGTGACTGGGTTATGCTGTTGAGAGACTGGGTTATTTTGAACTGTGACTGGGTTAGGTTTCCCAGTGACTGGGTTATGTTGTTCAGTGACTGGGTTTTGTTTAAAAGTGACTGGGTTTTGTTAAACAGTTACTGGGTTATGTTGTTTCATTTATTAATAAGCTCGCAATTGAGAAAGAAAAAGAAAAAAAGAGAAAGAAAAGCTAGAACAGTGCAGTTTTGAGGGATTCACTTGTAACATATTGAAGTGATTGCCAAAAAAAGTTAAAATATAACAACCCATTTTTGCCAGAAAGTTTTATAGTCAGTAATCTTTTACAGTGAATTTCAAAGCTGTAAAATAGGATTTAAATAAATTTAGAAAACCATGAATATCTACTAAATTATGTGTGTTCTTTATCTCACAGTTGAACAGTGAATTGGTTATGATTGATTGGGTATAATATGTTGAACAGTGACTAGGTTAGGTTTTCCAGTGACTGAGTAAAGTGTCACAGTGACTAGGTTATGTTGTTCAAAGACTAGATTATATTGGTTTGTAACTGGGAAATTTTTTTCTGTGACCTAATGGCTATAAACCAGGGTCATATTTCTTGTAAAACTGCAAGTCAACAAGTTAGGGATTTTTTTTTTCACTGTACGTGATTGTCTTTATGGGCGGGATTCCTTTTACCCTCGGAAGATTAGCGTAAGAAATAATTATTGAGAAATTCAAGTGCTGTGCATACACACATGCTAACTAGGTCACTAGTTCTACCAGTGGCTAACAGGCCATGAAAACGCAATCTATTAATTTATCATGTTATAACTATTAAATACCCCAACCTTCGTGAAAGTCGTTCATTCGCCTGAATGTCCTAATATTAAGACTCCGATTATGGCTATTGATCGTATTATTTGCCACACACCATAGTGTTTACAAAACTATATTGCATCGGGATCGAATATGCGTTATATTACAAAAAACCATACCGGAAATAATTTTCCCGAAAACCGTGACTGGGTTATGTTATAGACTCTACCGTTTACTTTAAACCATTTGGAAACAGTATACGGTCACAAGTTTTAGAGAAATGTTGCCAAATTTTTCCTTAAGAAAAGAAGTAAATTTGAGTTTGAGTCGGCTTTGCTAATGCTTGCTCTCAGGGAAAGGTATCAGTTATTCATTTTTAGAAAAAATCCATTTTTAATCAAATTAGACAGTATCACCTATACTAAGGGCATGAAATACTAATACGTGTTACTGTTAGTTTTATACAGCCGTATACAAGGAAAAGTTTTCCCTGAATAATTTTCCATAGTTTCAACTGAGATTTCATCGTTGAAGTTTGCATAGCGTGGTGAATTATAAGAATAATAAACATTATTTTCTTCTGAAAATGTGTTTTTGGTTCATTTTTCTAGAAAAGGGAGGCTGTTTTGTGTTGATTCTGTATTGTTTTCCTAGAAAAGGGGAGGCTGTTTTCTTGTTGACTCTGTGTAATATTCCTGGAAAAAGGGAGGCTGTTTTTTTTTGTTGATTCTGTATAATTTCCTGGAGAAACCCTAGGCTGTTTTGTTCTTGACTGTATAATTTTCTGGAAAAAGGGGAGGCTGTTTTCTTGTTGACTCTGTATAATATTCCTGGAAAAAGGGAGGCTTTTTTTTTGTTGATTCTGTATAATTTCCTGGAGAAACCCTTGGCTGTTTTGTTGTTGACTGTATTATTTTCTGGAAAAAGGGGAGGCTGTTTTCTTGTTGACTCTGTATAATATTCCTGGAAAAAGGGAGGCTTTTTTTTTGTTGATTCTGTATAATTTCCTGGAGAAACCCTTGGCTGTTTTGTTGTTGACTGTATTATTTTCTGGAAAAAGGGGAGGCTGTTTTCTTGTTGACTCTGTATTATTTCCAAGAAAAGGGGAGGCTGTTTGTCGTTGATTCTGTATTATTTCCTGGAAATGGGGGGGGGGCTGTTTTTTCATTGGTTCTGTATTGTTTCCTAGAAAAGGGAGAGTCTGTTTTGTGTTGGTTCTGAATTATTTTCCTAGAAAAGGGAGAGGCTGTTTTGTCGTTTGTTCTGTATTATTTTCCTAGAGAAAGAAGAGGCTGTTTCGTTGTTGGTTCTGTATTATTTTCCCAGAGAAGGTGGAAGCTGTTTTGTTGTTGGTTCTGTATTATTTTCCTGGAAAAGGGGGAGACTGTTTTGTCGTTGGTTCTGTATTATTTCGTAGAAAAGGGAGAGTCTCTTTTGTTGTGGTTCTGTATTATTTTCCTAGAAAAGGGGGAGGTTGTTTTGTTGTTGGCTCTGTATTATTTTTCCTTAGAAGGGGGAGGCTGTTTTGTTGTTGGTTCTGTATCATTTTCCCAGAGAAGGGGGAGGCTGTTTTGTTGTTGGTTCTGTATTATCTTCCTAGAAAAGGGGAGGCTGTTTGTCGTTAGTTCTGTATTATTTCCTGGAAAAGGGAGAGGCTGTTTTGTCGTTTGTTCTGTATTATTTTCCTAGAGAAAGAAGAGGTTGTTTCGTTGTTGGTTCTGTATTATTTTCCCAGAGAAGGTGGAAGCTGTTTTGTTGTTGGTTCTGTATTATTTTCCTGGAAAAGGGGGAGACTGTTTTGTCGTTGGTTCTGTATTATTTCGTAGAAAAGGGAGAGTCTCTTTTGTTGTGGTTCTGTATTATTTTCCTAGAAAAAGGGGGAGGCTATTTTGTTGTTGGTTCTGAATTATTTTCCTAGAAAAGGGGGAGGCTTTTTTGGTTGATTCTGAATTATTTTCCCAGAGAAGGGGGAGGCTGTTTTGTCGGTGGTTTTGTATTATTTTCCTAGAAAAGGAGGAGACTGTTTTGTCGTTGGTTCTGTATTATTTCGTAGAAAGTCTGTTTTGTTGTGGTTCAGTATTATTTTCCTAGAAAAGGGGGAGGCTGTTTTGTTGTTGGTTCTGTATTATTTTCCCAGAGAAGGGGGAGTCTGTTTTGTTGTTGGTTCAGTATTATTTTTCCAGAGAAGGGGGAGGTTGTTTGTCGTTTGTCGTTGGTTCTCTATTATTTTCTTAGAAAAGGGTGGGGGCGTTTTGTCTTTGGTTCTGTATTATTTTCCTAGAAAAGGGGAGACTGTTTTGTCGTTTGTTCTGTATTATTTTCCTAGAAAAGGGGGAAGCCGTTTTGGTTTTGGTTCTGTATTTTTTCTAGAAAGTGGTGGGGGGGGGGGGTGTCTGCTTTGTCGTTGACTCCGTATTATTTCCAAGGAAAAGGGGAGTCTGTTTTGTCGTTGAATCTGTATTATTACCTAGAAAAAGGGGAGTCTGTTTTGTCGTTGACTGTATTATTTCCTAGAAAAGGGGGAGTCTGTTTTGTCGTTGACTTTGTATTATTTCCTAGAAAAAGGGGAGTCTGTTTTGTCGTTGACTTTGTATTATTTCCTAGAAAAAGGGGAGTCTGTTTTGTCGTTGATTTTGTGTATTTACCCTGAAAAGAGAAGGAATGTTTTGATGTTAAGTCTGTGGTGTTTTTGTTTTATATTTTGTTTTCATTGCTTTCTCTTTGGTCATTTTTGGCCTCCTTCGTAAACTTGTACTTCCTAAAGATTTTTAATTCATGAAAATGTTTTTCCGTTCTGAAGCTTGGTGGTTTACAAAGAGAGAAAAATGTTACCATGACATCGGATGTTTCAACAATAGAGCACCTTTTGACAACCTCCATCTGCTTGGCAAAAAATACCTGCCTAAAAGTCCCGGTAAAATACAGCCTCGATTTTACCTCTTCACCAGAGAAAATCAAAATCTTGGCAAAGAACTTCATCCAGATAACCAGGCAACTGTGTTTTCATCAAACTTTGATCCAGCAAAAAAGACGGTGTTTATCATTCATGGGTTTTCTGCAAGTTCAACGGATTATCGACTTGTGGATATGAAAGAGGCTTTTCTGACAAAGGTATCCAAAAAGAAAAGCAAATTTAACAATTCAATCTTTTAAGATATGATATTCTTGTTCGAATTTTGATGCTTTTATTTTTAATGAAATTGATTTTTTTAGCTTGCCTTTCTACTATATGATAATGTGCATAATGTGTGTAAAGATGAAAAAAATGTGTGATACATGTACATTGATATAGAATTGTAAAACACTTTGTGTTTCTGTTTTAAAGCAAAATCAAGACGTTTTAATACTGTCAATTTTTTTATTTAGTGCTACTTGGTAAATTCAAAATTACATGATCTTTTTTTTCATTTCCGCATCTACTGTCACCGGGTCAGGTTAAAAGAAATGCATTTTAACATTCTACGAAATATAAGTATTATTATAATTATGAAAAAAAAATACATATTAATTTCTTTCTCACCTATACTCGGCACTCAGGGCCTTGAGCAGTGAGGGATCTTTTTCGTGCCAGCACCAACTGCTGAGACCTCGGTTTATACGGTCTCATCCGAAAGACCGGTCTTCACGTCCCACAGTGGGTTTCGACATAATGATCAACTCCTTACTCCGCGACTCTACAGCAAATGCTCTAACCACTAGCTGCGCCACGCGGGCGACTCAATCACAGAAAAATAAAAATCAGGAGCAAAGCAAACACGGACCTCTAAAACATCAGGGGCCCGTTTACTTACGACATGGACCAAGACCTTAAGTTGATCGTAAAATTTTACAAAATTAAAGTTTCTGATTAAAATTGCCGGTGTAAAAATATCTTAATACATTCCTTTTAAAAAGATTAAAACTATTTTTAATTATTTACATTTGCAAATATTTTCCTTAGATAAACCTATTGAAGAGAAAATATGTTCAATTCTGTATGAACTTATTAGGGGGTCAGAGGTCATGGCGTGACCGAATCACGCAGCGAGACGATATCTTGTCTACATATTTCTGTCACAGTGACACTGGTTTCGGAACTTCTAAGCCGTTAAAGTGATGAAAAAGATAAAATATTTGAAACATATTTATTTTTGCGTTCAACAAATGATCATTAGATCTTTCTTCGGTGTGAAGAATGTTTCTAATTAGCCTAAAATCACGCTTACCTTTTTAACCCGAAATTCCTTTGAAGGTATGTAAACTGAAGACGATAGCACCGCTTTTGACTCCATATATAAAGAACTCATACAATAATAATAAGATTATTCCCAGTAGCGATCATTGTTTTTTTCATTATGAACAGATATTTCCTGAACTGGACTGCTGAACATCAATGTAAGTATTCAAATGTTGGTGCGAGGCGAACTCTCAAGACCAAACAGCTTCTAGGTCATTGCGCGTCACAACATAGCAATACGACGGACCGTTCGTGTAATAAATGCAGTTCTTTTCAGAATATTCGTCTCAAATGTAAATAAAAGTAATAAACAACAATGTTAAAAAGTTCACTGGGAAATGAACTTGGTTGGTACGTGATCAAATCTTCTGAGAAGCCCTTCGGGCTTCACAGGATTTGATCACGTGACCAACCAAGTTCATTTCCCAGAGAACTTTTTAACATTGTTGTTTATTTCTTAAATATATTAATGTAAATAAGAAAGTAATAAACAGAATTAAATTTTGGTCTCAGTCGTAAGTTGTAAAAACGGGCACCAGCTGAGGGATAAGGTGACTTTTTCAACTACAGAATTATAATGGTGAACTAGTCCTTTCTTGTTCACTTACAACATTGTAATATTGGATAGGCCTCGTCTTTTTTTTTATTTTTTTTTTCATTCTAAAAATTTTGAATTTACCGCGTGACAGTAAATACAAAATTTATAACATGACAAGTAGTCAAGTTGTAAACTCAACTTTTACAACATGATTTATCTACAATAGAACAAAATAATAGTTGAGTGGTCTCCTTCATTTTTTAGTTTGGCTACAATATACAGAGGCCGGTGACTTACTTTTTGATTTTACATAATCACTATAGACAAAAAGGTATTTAAAGTGATTATATAAAATCAAGCAACGTAAACTCTTTGCTACAACATTATAATAATGGACTTATACCTTCCTTCTTTAATAATTTAAGTACAACATACAACATCATAATGGTGGGCTGGTCCCCTTTTCTCTTTTTTTAGTTAATTAACTACAACACAATGATGGTGGACAGGTCCCTCTTCCTTCTTTTTTTTTTTGGATTCAACTACATTATACAAAATCGTCTGATTGGTTCCTTTTCTTCTTTTTTGAGTTTAACTAAAACACTATAACGGTGGACTGGTCCCCTTCCTTCTTTTTTAATTTAACTATATAATAATGGTTAACTGGTCCACATTCTTCTTTTTTTAAGTTTAACTACAACATTATGATAGTGGACCGGTCCCCTTTCTTCTTTTTTAGTTTAACTACAACATTATAATAATGAACTGGTCCCCTTTCTTCTTTTGTAGTTTAACTACAACATTATAATGGTGGACTGGTCCCCAGGAGCTAATAATGTCTGTTATCTCCAAGCCGCGGCAAATACGAGAGTTGTGGGAGCAGTAACAGCTAGATTGCTGAGAACACTGAGAGATGAACACTTCTTGTCCTATACCGATGTCCATATGGTGGGACACAGTCTCGGGGCTCATACCTGCGGTTATGTTGGGAGAAGGGAGAGGGGAATTAGCCGTATAACAGGTACTTTTACGATAAAATTAAGGAAAGTTATGTCTAACAAACATTGTACAATCAGGTATTGATGTGTTCACCAAACTTAGTTTAGCTTTACCGAAAGATGACTACGTCTTAAGTTTAACTGTTGAAATGTTAGTACTGGAGAGCACCAATGGCAAACTAACAGCTAAACTTTAAGATGAACGTGATGATTTCAACATTTCTATACCAACTTCCCTTATTTATGCAACAATAAAGTTAATTCGTTATGACATTAGAATGCCTTGCGTACAAATTATTTCTTATTCTTAAAGGGCTTCTGACAAGTAAGTTGATGGTATAAGGATATCAAAAATCAACATTTCGTAAATTCTATGGTTGATACAATAACTATGTTTGTGATTTCAACCTATCGTTTAGAACATGGGATATAAAAATAATTGTTAAAGAACCTAGTATTTAAAATGCTTTGTAATGCTTTATTGTTGTTGAAAGACAGGCCAACCTTCATAATTAATCAAATCCCTCCCCCCCTTATGAATATAAATTGATCCTAATTTACCATGTAAAAATAAATTGTATCTTGGATTTACGAAATACAAAACTATATGAAAAATGCCACTTTCATAGAATTTTGGGTATCACTTGACCTTAAGACAAATAATTAGGCCATTATTTTTTATACTGCACGGATACTCGATTAAGTCAAAGAGCTCATGGCGCGTGTGACGGATCAACATGGATGCTTACTACCAACATAGCACCTAATTCTACCTCTGATATTTTCAGAGGTCCGTTTTTGCTCTGCTCTTAATTTTTTATTGCTCAATTGGACTTTTTAGCATGATTGTTGTTTCTTTTCTTAACATGTCATTGGCCTTATCTGTGTAAATAATTTTATTTTTACCTTTGCATTAAACAAATCATCATGCAGTCTTTTCATTTCTGTGTAGGCCTGGATCCAGCAGGGCCTTTCTTTGAAGACTCGGAGTCCCCTGTTCGCCTAGATCCTTCTGATGCTATGTTTGTTGATGCGATCCACACTGATGGCAGAAAATACTTTGGTATATTTGTTTTTCCTTGATGTATCTTACTGACTGTGTGGATGGGTGTGTGGGTGTGGGTGTGTGCGTTTCTTGGCGATTTACTTCAAATTGTAAATTGTTAGCTGAGATATATATGTGGATGTGTGTGTGTGTGGGGGGGGGGGGGGGTGTATCCTAAGGCTTACCTTTTATCTTTCCAAGTTGTATATTTTATGTGAAAGAACGTTTTCTTTTTTGGTTTGTTATGTACATGTGTATAACCAAGGAATAAATTAGTATTTTTGCCTGTGAAAGAAATAGTGTTAATAACTAAGCTACATGCAGATATTGATATCACAAGGGCTTGGAATAATTCGTCCAGTGGGCCATGTTGATTTTTACCCTAACAATGGAAAACATCAGCCTGCCTGTAAATCGGGGAAACTGACAGTCATTAAGAAACTAGTCTCTGGACAGCTTGAAAGTAAGTCATACCTAACTCTACAAAGAGTGATTAAATTAAAATGTAAATAAATGTTTAATGTAATGAAAATGAATATATAGGGGGTAAAATCATTTTTGTCTTTACAAATGAAGTAAAACACCATTAATAAATACAAAATACTACAGTAAATCATTATATTTACACATAGTGTACAAGCATCATATATATATATATATATATATATATATATATATATATATATATATATATATATATATATATATATATATATATATATATATATATATGTTAAATTAAATGTGAACTTGTTTGTTTATCTTGGATTTAATATATATATATATATATATATATATATATATATATATATATATATATATATATATATATATATATATATATATATATATATATATATATATATATATATAATTTGGTACAAAAAATCCTTTGAAGATAACTTCTGATATGCACAAAAAATTGTATGTATAAATACTTGTACAATTTGTGGTCCTGATTCTAAAATCTTAAAGTAAAAACGTTTCTTGTGTACATGCACACTACGCCCATTCCAACGAGTATTAATTTGTAACATTTAGTATATTTTTTTATGAATGAGGAAATAAATAAATATACTAAAAACAAACCGCTTTTCAGATTCTTGAATTTTAATTGACCATTTTTTCTCTAAAAATTAAAATCGATGTGATTTTCTACGTAGAAGGAAGACCATCTTCGCTAGCCAAGGGTTTCTGATCCGATCTGATCTGAGAAAGTAGAAAGTAGGAGAGTAACGTATCTGAAACCCTTGGCTGGCGACGATGAAGGAAGACGGTCCTACTAAACAGAGAACCCTAGAGAACTAAAAATAATAATTTAACTACATAATTTTACAATTCTCTTTCATATATTTTTTTTAAATTTCATTTTTTGAGTTATATACAACTCTTTGTCCTTAACTCTGGCGTAAAACTTACTTGAAAAATAATTAAAATAACACAAAGTATGATGAAGTCTTCATAGATTAGTATTCCATTGAAATTAAGCATAACACCTGGCATAATATTCTTTTTTTATTTTATTTTGTATGATACATTGGTTATTTAAAACATAAATATTTCATTTACAAACAATTAATAATTAATAATCATTAGGGTTCTCTAGGGTTCTTTAGAGTTCTCTAGGGTTCTCTGTTTAGTAGTACCCAAAGGAAGACAAGCCAAATTACCAAGAAAAATACATTTTGGCATCTAATATTCATTACTTTCAGGATTTTCACATGTTTTAAATACTACACATGTTTCCCTTTTTTGAACAAGGTTTATCAAAGGTTATCGCCTGCAGTCACATGAGATCCATCTTACTCTTCACGGAGTCCATTAGATCCGCCTGTCGCTTTAAGGCCTGTAAACGTTGCTCTTCCTGTGAGGACAAATGTACGTCAATGGGACAGAATGTGAATGATAAGGCCAGAGGACGTTATTATCTGACCACTAACTCAGCGTCACCTTTCTGTCAACAGTAAGACCACCGGAAGTTCTTATCTGACCACTAACTCAGCGTCACCTTTCTGTCAACAATAAGACCACCGGAAGTTATTATCTGACCACTAACTCAGCGTCACCTTTCTATCTGCAATCTCAAATAAACATGATAAAGCCAGTGGAAGTTATCATCTGACCACCAACTCAGCCTCACTTTTTTGTCAACAATCTCAGCAATAAGGCCAGCGGAAGTTTTTTATCTGAGCACTAACTCAACTTCACCTTTCTGTCAACAATAAGACAAGCGGAAGTTTTTATCTGACCTCTAACTCATTTACACCTTTCTGTCAAAAGTAAGACAAGCGGAAGTTTTTATCTGAGCACTAACTCAACTTTATCTTTCTGTCAGCAATAAAACAAGCGGAAGTTATCATCTGAGCACTAACTCAACTTCACCTTTCTGTCAACAATAAGATAAGCGGAAGTTGTTATCTGACCTCTAACTCAACTACACCTTTCTGTCAAAAATAAGACAAGCGGAAGTTTTTATCCGAGCACTTACTCAACTTTATCTTTCTGTCAACAATAAGACAAGTGGAAGTTATCATCTGACCACTAACTCAGCTTCACCTTTCTGTCAACAATAAGACAAGCGGAAGTTATCATCTGACCACTAACTCAACTTCACCTTTCTGTCAACAATGAGACAAGCGGAAGTTGTTATCTGACCTCTAACTCAGCTTCACCTTTCACAAGCAGAATTTAATATGTGAATGTGAATACAACTCAGCTCTACCGTTTTGCCTGCAAAGAACATCAACAGCCCAGTTGACGTTAATTATTATATGACCACTTAACCAGTTTTGAACACCCTTTACTTACCTAAGCTTCTAACCCAGTTTCTCCAGCTGTCAAAAACAGACGTACCTCAACAGTAAAGCCAGGAAAAAGTTATTTTCTTACCAATAACTTAGCTATAACTTTCCGTCAAAAATCAATTTCAGAATTATGGCTAGAGGAAGTTATGGATGAATTTAAAAAAAAAAAGACCGGCAAATTGAATTTCTTTTGAAACATTCAATTTACCTTTTTCAATTATAAAATCATATTGTATATACACTTTGTTAAAATTTCCAAAATGACAATAAAATTAACAAATGCATAAAAAAGTTGCAGAATTTTTATTAGTAGAACTTCATTTGAAAAAAAAAAAAGCAAATATTACTTCATTCTAAAAGACTTCCTGAAATACATAGTCAAAAGACATTGTTTTTTTTTTTTTTTTTTTTTTTTTTTTTTTTTTGTTTTGTTTTTTTGTTTTTTTTTTTTGTTTTTGTTTTTTGTTTTTGTCTTTTAGACTTGTGTCAGGCATGTAAATACATGTAATTAGATTTAAACCTTGACTGAGTTTCTCCTTTTGTCTATATGCATGTATGTGAAAAAATTGGCTTTTTGATTGTTATTTAACATAAATTGTCCCAGTTCTGGTTTGAACATTTTAAAAGGAAAGAATAATGCAATAAAGAATATGCAAGAAATTTTCCAAAAATTACTATTTTTATGAATTTAGTCCATTCCTCAAATCTGAGCCAAAAAGAAGTTTAAAAAGTAAGTATTATATAACAAAAACATACCAGATTTTAAAGTGACCCCATTTTACCTTGTTTTGTTGCACTCCTGACGTCTAGTATGTTTGTATTCAACATTGTTTTAAAAACTTTTGGCACATACAATATCTCACTTAAATTTTGTAAAGCAGTATGTCGTTGATATTTTTAACCTACTTATGAAATGTTTTCATATTTACTTGACTTCAAAAATTAATATGCTTATTTGCTTATGTAATATATAATTGCTAAAAATATATTTTAAGTGATGAAAATAATTCCTTGAATTGACTTAAAATGTCCAAAAATGTCTGAAATTTGTGTACAAACATAAGGATGTCAACTACAAACAATATTAAGCGTCTCTCCAATTTATTTTGTAGTAAAGAGAGATGAAGTTCATTGATAATAATAAAACAGTTTTGTGTACTCTGACTGCAGAAAGATTTGAAATTAAAGCCATGGAACACAAAAATTCATAAAGTTCTTGCAGCATCAAGTTGCAATGAAATTGTGCGTTATTTTTAGTCCAATACTTTATGGTTTAAGAACATAAAATTGTTTAAAATTGGCTTTGTATGACAAATTATTCCCAAGCAATGTTTTAAAACTAGCTGAAAATACAGTAAGATGAAAAAGGTATATTTTATGGGACGTTTTACAATTTGCATCTCCATATGAGTAAAAATTCTCGAGAGGGACTTAAATAACAAAGATTATGGGACAAACACTGTTAGGATTTTAGGTTAACCAGAAACATTCTACTCATCATTTTTTTTTGTATTATGACTTATGAATATATGATCATTAATAATTCTGACATTTTTATTGCACTCCTGACCAAGAGCATATGAGTCTGTAAAGCAGAATGTTCCTTTGTTTCAGTAAAGTCATGGTTGAATTATCTGAATTTTACTACAATTTTTCTGCATGTTTTGTTTTTAAATTTTTTAAAAAATTAGAAGAAAAGATAAAAACACTTATTGATCAAATAATACTTATAAATTTGTATGAATAGAAGTCATTTCATCATTGAACTTGGATCTTTATAAAAATGTGTTGCACTCCTGACCTTAGAGATATGGATCTGAAACACAAAAAGATTCTGTAAATGATAGATATATTTGGTAAAAATGTTCTTTGTGTTTTTTATTTTTATTATATTTATGCTGACTGACGTTTTTCATTCTAATTGTTCGGCCATTATTTATACACTGAACTGTCTACGGATTTTTCCGCCTCCCCCCCCCCCCCCCGATCATGACAAGGAGCACACGGCGGGTGTGACCGGTCGGCAGGGGATGCTCACTCCTCCATGGCACCTGATCCCACCTCTATATTTTGAGGTCCGTGTTTGCTTTGCAACAAATTTGTATCGTTTCATTGGACTTTCAAGATTGAATACTGTTCGTTATCTTCATATTTCATTTTTTAAAAAGTATATATATATATATATATATATATATATATATATATATATATATATATATATATATATATATATATATATATACAAATATACTGATTTAAGTTTTTTCCAAGCTGGGGAGCAAAACATTGAATGTTGGTCAAAACTTCCTGATATACAGGGGTATGCACAAATACTTGACTCTCATTTATTATAAATAGTATAGCAGTTATTGTTTTACACTTTGACAGTTCTTTTTTGACAAGTCAAAAAAAAAAAAAAAAGAAAAAGAAATTGTCAAAGTGTAAAACAAGTAAGTTTACTTGTCACACTGACTTTTAAATTCAATGTTTTATAGCACCATTACATTTTTACAGTTGCCCTCTTAAAGTCTTAATTTAAAGCTCAATATATTGAATTTTCAAAATGTCACAAAAAGGTGTCCTGACATTTTTAGTATCATTTTGGGGCATAATTTTTTGTGTCTTAAGATATCAATGATATATTTGGCAGGCATTTAGTCAGTATCAAAAGACACATGCTGAGCTATATAAGATTTAAATAGCCTCATTTTTAGTGCAGGTTGATATTATGTGTTTGGTCTTTTTTAAATTCACCCTTATAGCCTGACCACTAACCCAGCTTCATATTGTTCTGTCAAAATATTAGTACCAACAATAGGAGATCAACGGTCATATGTAGAAAACCCTTGCGAAATCCTCTTCTGAAGAACAAATGTGTCATGATGAGTCATATTGAAATGAAAGCATCCTCAGGTAGTGTAGATTTTCATGTTTGTTTAATTCAAAACCTCCAGGCGAAGTGTGGGGCAACAGTTTTATATAGTAATGTATAGAGAAAATACGGTACTTTAAAAATCTTCTTCGGAAGAACAGACCATGATGAATCATATACATGTATTCACATGGAAGCAATCTCATGAAGTGTAGATGCAATTTTGTTCAAAACATGACCAATTAGGGTAAAGTGGAACCACAATAGGAAATCAAAACTTTACATTGTAATATACAGAAAAAAATCTTTCGAAATCTGATGATTATAAGGAAAACTGTGTCATTATTCATGTTACTGGTCAGAGCATCCTCAAGTAGTGTAGTTTCAAATTTGTTCAAATCAAGGCCCAAGGAGGAAGGTTAATGGGGACCACAATAAGACATTTTACCTGATAACAAACGTGCATATCTGAAAAGTTTGTTTAAAAACTTTTTTTCTGAAGAACAGCAGGAGCATGGACAGCAATTTTCTTTTGGGGCATCTACATATAATTATGTAGAATCAAGTATGTTTAAATTATGGCCTCCTACGGTCATAATCCAAGATCAAAATTTTAAATTGTAATATATAAGGGAAAATCTATAACTTCTTCCTCTAAAGAAAAGAAAGGTCATGATTAATTGTCATATTCATGTGGCATCATACAAAAATAATGTAAAATCAAGTTTGTTCTAGTCATGGTCCCTGGGGTAGGGTATGACCACAACAGGAAATTAGTTTCACATAGGAATATAAAAGGAAAATCTTTTGACAACGGAATAATCATATTTGGAAGCATCCTTGGGTAAGGTAGATTTAACTTTGATTAAATCAAGCAACCCCTCACCCTATTCCATGTTTTTTCTTTCTTTCTTTCTTTTTTTTTTGATTCAAGCAGGTTAAGTCATAAGTCCTTGAGGCTACGTAGGGTTAAGTCATAAGTCCTTGAGGCTACGTATAGGGACCACAATATGAGGTCAAAAATTTTTCACTGGAAAAAATTTTTTTAAAGATTACATGCACTTTAAAATCTTTATTCAATATTTAAAAGGAAATGCATGTAACATCTGTAGTACAAGTATTCTTTACAGAAAACATAATTATTATCTATAATCTATAACAAATAACATTTTTAAAATATTTTACATGCATTAAATGAACCAAAAAATATAATTCAAAATATTTTTTTTCTTTATAAAAGAAAAATTTTAACAGCCTCTTTGATATCATCTTAACTTACAAATGTTTAGAAATTTCAATCGATCTGCATATCTACTAATAACTAAGATGAATTTGTTTGGAAAGATATTATTTTCACTAGCATCTTAAGCTGTTAAAAGATAAATATATACTAAGTTCTTTATAAATAAAGCACTTGAGAATAAAATTACATTAATAAATACAACAACAAAGCACACCCAACCATATCAGAGTCAAAAGTTTTACTAAAGAACTACGAGGTAATTTGGTTCTTTTTTTAATAGCCCCATCCAACATAAAAAAAAATCAAACTTGGACTGATATTTTTATTTTGGTCCTATTCGTTAAGATTTTATAAAGTTTTTAAACTTAATTAGCTAAAGATCCTCCCTTTTATTATTTCTTTTCTTATTTTAACAGCACCCCACCACAAAATCATGATATAATCTATAAATGCTATATATAAATGCTAAAATTGAAAATTGTTGTTCCACATTTCAATTTCACAATTCTGACAAATGTTAAATATAATATATGACTGTTTAGTAAATTTAAGAAATGATTAAATGGGTCACATTGAAAATTTTGCAATAAATATACAAAAATAGTAACAATATTGAACCTCAAGGCACATACATGACATTAACTTTACAACTATGGCATATAATGATCAAAACACCGGATGGGATGAATTAAAAAAAAAAAAACAAATAACAAATAAATGAAGTTAATACATGAATATTTCATAAACTTCCAAATGCATACCTGGGGCCCGTTTTACAAAAGAACTTACAACTAAGACAAAATTTAATTCTGCTTATTACTTTCTAATTTACATTGATTTGAAAATGATTTTAATCTTTTTAAAACAGAATTTAACAAGATATTTTAATGCTAGCAATTTCAAACAGAATAATTAATTGTGAAAAATTTAACAATCAACTAAAGTTTTTGGTCTTAGTCATAAGTTCTTTTGTAAAACGGGCCCCAGCTCCATTAATACTTCACACTCTCAAAAATAACAGAATAGGTTTTTTCATCAACAATACTTGGCCTTGATTCTACTCCCAATCAATTAACATTGTAGAAAATGTGTCCCTATATTAACAGCAAAACTCAGGAAATTTTTAGCCATGTTTCCATAGTAACGATGACCCAAAACTTTTTTTTAATTTTACATACATGCTTCATAGTGGGAGGGAAATCTATGTGTGGAAAATCAAAGAATTCGAAACACCCTTATGATTCCCTGTCTGATTTTTACAGAGAATTGTCATAAAACTATTCAAATTGACTATTGCAATCTGGTTCATCAATTTCTCTCCACAGATATTACAAAATTCTGAAATTACCGGGTACTGGGTATGGTGAATTATTATATAAAAAATGGAATCTTTTTTCATTGATGTGAAATCCTAAAACACTGAAAAATTGCACTTCAAACTAATTTTTTATTATAAAATATGAAGAATCATTATCCCATATTGTAGATAATGCATGTAAAATGGAAAAATCATTAAAAATATTGAGCTTGTGTTATGCTTCAAAACTCTTTAACTTTGTGGATTT